AGAACGGAAAAGTTGTAACTCTTGTGTTGACTATGTTTCTTTTTCACGGAAAAACTCGGAGGACAAATATCGACGCGGACGGGGGTTATTGCTTGATAACTGTCCTGTGATTTTGCACCACGTGACGTAAAGTAACCAATAAAATCGCGCCAAAATTAATGGGTGGGTTATAATCAACAATATTGGAAAATCATTCACCCGCGGAGTGAGAGCACATAAGTTTTTGATGGAAGCTTTGCAAACTGTTGCAGTGGAAAGCATTCTGTGCATGGACATTAGAGAAGAAGCAAGTTCTGATATCATTGACTAGGATATCCGCACATACAAGGCGGCATCTACCACTGGAGAGAGGAGAGATACATATCTTCTGCTATATGATACATCGAACGTACTTCGTCTCCTGTTCAGCAGATTGAAGAAACAAGAGTTCGTCTCTACAATTCAAGTCTTTGGGAGAGCAACATAAACATGGTGCGTCTTTTTCTAAAGTTCATCAGAGCAGAGTGAGAAGGACACTGAGACATACCTCTTGAGGTACCAGCTGATATATATACCCACTTTAACCCTATGGATGTGACTAATTACTCCCGTCGGCTTCCAGTTTACATCATAGACATGTACCAACTAGAGAGTTTACGAGAGGTAATCACCCAGTCAACATGCCATAATCATTACTTCGTTGGTCGATCGGGAAGTCAATGCGCTCTGATAAGAGCTCCCGATCGCAAGAAGTTTGTTGGTCGATCGGGGAACCAATGTGCTCTGATAAGAGCTCCCGATCACGAGAAGTTTGTTGGTCGATCAAGGGGTCAGTGCGCTCTGACAAGAGCTTCCAATCGCAAGAAGTTTGTTGGTCGATTGGGAACCAATGTGCTCTGATAAGGGCTCCCAATCACAAGAAGTTTGTTGGTCGATCAGGGGGTCAATGTACTCTGACAAGAATTCCCAATCACAAGAAGTTTATTAGTAGTCGATCGGGGAACCAAACTCTTAACAGTTAGCGCGGACAGGAATTAGCCTGCTCGAATGCTTATTGTGTCAAGATCTAGAGATATAAAACTCAGAGAGGTTCTGAAGTACGAATTGTCCTCCATTCCTTGCACTTTGGCACACTGGCGTGTCTGAGAAAGACAACAAAGAGCAAGCTATAAGGTACCATGGAGAAGAAGTTATATTTCAGCTAAGACTTCATGTGCATTGCACTGCTAAACTATCAACTTCATTACAGACGGCATGGCTAAGGTGCAGATGAGGAGGAATGTGGGTTCAACAACTTTTGGAGAGCTTGCCAACGAGTACTTCCAGGCCACAACTCTCCCACTTAGGAAGAATAGCTGCGATGGTGTGGATTAAGTTATCAAGTACAGTCACGCCAGCCTCATTAAAAATGGAACAGCTTTATCTCAAATCTAATGAACAAGATCAACCTGATAATCTTGCGTTCTCCCATTTATAGGACTTGGAAGAACAAGTACCAAGAAGTTGTTCAATCTGCTGAGGCACTCATAAGCTGACTTAACGCTCCCGCATGTAAGGCTGGTACGACAGCAGATGAAGTCAGGTCAATGTCAATCATTTCATGTAATTAACTGACTATTTTGTCATCTACCTTTAATGTAAGAGATTGGAAAATGGTTGGCTTATAGAAATTCGACATGTTTACCAACCTCAAATGTGAAAATGAGTATTTTTCAATTGTCTTTTTTTTAAACATATTTCTCAAATGGACTTTGTAAATTTCGAGCCAGCAACATTTGCCGTTTATTCTTTTCAGTATAAATTAAGAGAAGTAGAAACAAAACATCAACAATTGACCCAAAATGATAACGAACGTTCTCTTTTAACGCAAATTGATAAGAAAAGTAATCTACATGGTTTTATAACTATTTTCACAAAAACTACGTTTTATTTTAGCAACCACTGCGAAGATAACAACTTAACCGAGTGCAATTGTCCCACATTAAGTAACTGCAAAAGTTACTCCCCTCCCCCATTAAAATTTATAATATTTGGTAGAGTAGTTCCAGAGATATTTCGAATAACGTTCTTGAACCCATCAATATTAGTACATCCAAAGCATCCCCACCCCCTTGAAAACCAGTATACAGCAAGACACTGACTCTACAATTTGTGACTATGAGTGACGTAGCGATAATCTCCGAGTATCAGCCTATGATGATTCCATGTTTAACCTTTTGTATAGTGGAGGTGATACGCAGCGCCTTTTTGAGGCTTTTTCGGGAATTTCCCCCTCGACCATAGACCATGAGTACTAACTTCTTACTAGCCAAGCATGAGGGCCGCATTAAGGAATATTGGCCCGTGGTCTTAGCAGTGTGGACCGAGCGCAGCAACATCCATATAAAAAAACGATTTAGGGCCAATGTATTTTGCAGTACCGCTTGAGTAAACGAGGTTCGTAAGTAGTTTACTATATGGTACTTGGACCAAATTTGCTTATTTTGAATTTGCTGGCTTTCGCAAACAAAATTACACCGCTTATATTTCTGTGGGAAACGGTCCGTATGGTAAAATCCTGACCAAGAAAAAAACCAATCAAACGCTCGGATTTACCTCAAGACAAACTTGCCCTATAATAATAAGTAATAATATTACGGCTGACTTCGTGACCGTTAAACACAGGTTAAGTTAGAGACTTGCTGTAAATGATGTCGCAAAAGTTTTAATATCCATGGTGAACAAAACGGTCGCAGCTCGGTGTGCTGAGACTAAAGACTACCCTCGTAAACAGATTCTAGGGGGACGATATCAATATAATGTCAAACAAACAAGTGTTAAATACTACGGAAAATATCACGTGTGATGTGTGATTTAACACCGAAATGCTTGAGCTGATAGGGGAGATAATAGAGAGAACTGATTTAGGAAGTGACAGTAAAATACATGAGTAAGAACAACCCTCCGCGAAGCTGTCGACATGTAGTTTAAACAAAAAGGTAAAACTAGATCTTAAAGAAGCATGACCCACAATTACTCCTGAGTAAACCCTCCTTGTGTGGAATATGCAAGCAGTTGACTATCCCACTCGAAACTGCTGTAAGAAACTTAAACGAAATGCGACATATTGTTCGTTTATTCGCCAATCTGAATACAACCCACTGCTATTTGTCTACTAAATCAAATGTGACTCTTTGGATTGATAACTGTTGGATGGAGTCGTGTTGGGGAAAGAGGAGGGCTTGCGTTGCATTTTGCAAAATCTCTTGGAGCACCCCGGCAGGTTTTTTGATCAAAGTTTAGCTTTTTTCAGAAAAACAGTGTATCAAATTTAGGTAACCTTTTTAAAAAGAGACAAGACGGCTCATAATTAACTTCAAACAATCCATTAATTGTCTAACTCCGAGGCCTTAGTAAGAGCTTAAGAACCAGCCTTTTTAGTTTAATTTGTTAGCATACTTTAACATTTTAACTAGGAGTCCTTACCTTTGATCTGAGACACCAAGCCAAAGCAGCTCCCAGTCTCCCATTCCTCAATGCGTTCATGCTCATAGTCTTACAAATGGACTGAGCTAAAAGAAAACAGATAAAATAAAACATATATTAAAAACTACAACGTAACACTTCTCATTAACATTCGTCCAGGAGGTTTAACGACAAACACCTGTTTTGCATAACATCACGTCTCAAGTTAACAATCGCTCGTAAACAGCGGAGCTCACACGGCGCGAAAAGCGCACGCACAGCGTAGCCCCATCGCCAAGTAAATTTGGTAACACATCAAGGCAAGAAATTTGGCCATGACTTCATGACTTAAGTCCGCCTGTGCGCCCGTCCACGCGTTCGATAATAGCCCATTTGCAAATTACCCTTGGCCTCATTTTCAAAACGAGTCCTCGCACTAATCCTATCCCATGATAATAAGTTTCTATTCACATGCAAATTAAACTCATTTTCACAAAAATGGTTGAGCACGAGGACTCGTTTTGAAAATGAGGCCAAGGGTAATTCGCAAATGGGCTATTCAATTATCATTCTTCCCTTCATTGAAAAGCGATTAATACTCGGCAAAATCATTTGAAATGAACTAAGTCAAATAGCAAAGGAGAACGAAATGAAATTGCTACTACTTTTAAGCAATTTGCTGACTTGAACCCAGACTTTCCCAAATTAGTTTTGAGAATTCCATTTCTACGTTTACTCGAATAACTTTCTAGACTTGTAGCGCGATTGGTTTACCGTGGAGTAAACTCACAAAAAATTAATGCTTACTTGAACTGAAGCGCTCCAAACAGGTTTAAGAGAATTCTATTTGTCATTGAATTATAGTTTTACTGAAGATTTTCCGTTGATTCCATCCTATTAACAACTAAAACTAAGCAAAGAAACCCAAATTTGGAAAAGGCTACGTACAGTTGAATACTATTGATATCTCTTTAAAAAAATGTAAATACCTTGGAAAGTTCTTCCCCATAACGAACCGTGATTTTAAATGTATTTCCGCTAACACAAAACCAATTGCCAATCAATCCTAACCCTGAACCTTACCAAACCATGTCTACATTTTCATGAACACGGAGGCTTTTTCTAATTTAAAACCTTAACTCATAATATCTTTCTTTTTTTTTCCGCTTTAAATATGGCCTTAAATACAATCGAGCGTTGTTTTCCAATTGATGTAAATGCCGAAGTTGTCTCTGAGTTTTTTTCCTTTTTTCTTGGCCCCTCCCAGGCTCACGGCTGTTTACAGTTCAGTGTTGTTTATCAAGTCCGGTTAATTTCCGGACCATACCTTATTTGGAGATACTTTCCAATTAACTTCCTAGATATGAAAGAATCAACGGATTAGTTAAGAACTGTTTTTCAAGCATAATTTGCTCCTTGTTATTCACCGCACTTTACCGACAATTGGATATTCTAAGTATTCGCTCTTGACCCGTTCACTCCCGAGATCTCAATAGTAATCCTCCTAACTGACTAACATTCAATGCTTATGATATTAGTTTGGAGAATTTGGTTTTGGATCAACTACAAATTCCCTACTTTATAGTTTTTTTTTTTTATTGTCATCACTTTTCTGCTGGATATTGTGTTAATATTGTAAGAAGAAATTCTGTCCTGGTTACTCATGGGAGTTAAAGAGTTATTCCTATTATCAAAAGGAAGTTTTTGATTGGTGCGTTGGTGCTGGCAATAGTAACACATATACCCGGTGCTCCATAATGTTTGCCAATTTCATGAGTACTAATTACGAGACATTTTGAACCAACATTTCAATATTTTACCAAAGTGGTGGAAAATGAGTGCAACTGGATAAAAAGCGGTGTCTAAGTATATAGAGAAGAAACGCCCAAAGAGAACGCGGAAATACGGTCAATCAGATCCCGAGATAACAGGGCCGGAAGAGATATTTCAGTACCTTCGCAACGATGTGCAGGAGGCTATGTTTTCATTGACAACTGAAAAACAGCAATCTCCATCACCAGAAATCGGGGACATTTCGAGCCCGTTACGAAATGTCAGCGGTATATCGTATTACAGACAATTAAATATGGCGGCGGTGGAAGTGAAGTGAACACGTAACTTTCTATTTTCGTACAACCCCACGAGAGAAAAGCCTGGTACCTTTCTATCCCAGAATGCCAAAAGAAGACGTCAAAACAAGGAAAATAGCGGCCAAATTGTGCAGTTACTGGGACTTGTATCTTTCGTGTTCTTCCTTCCTAAAATTGGGGTATTTAAAAATGGCGTATTTGGCTTTTGAGCTCTGTGAAAATACGAAGAGTTTCCTGGCTCGAGGAAAATTTGTGGGCCAACATATTCGACCGTTTACGAGCGATTTAGTTGAGCAAACTTCTGCAGAATGGATATCGATCTACGCAGTTGCGAATCTTCACAAGGTTGTTCCCACGACAAAAGAATTGTAACACCTAGTCGAAACAGATTTTAAGAGTTTGTATGGGAAAATAGAGTCAGAATGATGAGCTTACTCGTATACCTTGAGAAAAGGTAGGCTTGAATTTGAGTATTTCTTTTTCGTAGCGATGGAAGCTTTAACCGATGCAGGCTGCATTTCCAAGAACGCAACGAAAGAATATCCCATTCTTAGACAGCTATTTTGAAAAAACAATCTTTTCCTATACATTTTCTTATACTGTTGCCGCGTCATTTTGTTTGTAACACGAGAACCGCCTCCGCCATATTGTCCCAAATTTCTGGCAATGTATACCTGGATATTTTCAAACCTCAGGATTTCTACGAACTATTGTTTAAGAACTTCGGGACGCAGACTCAAATGGACACTTTGGAGGACTGACGAGGAACGCCTTGCAAAGTCAGGAGAAGTAATTATGAAACTGAGAATGTCATCAATGGACAAATCTATGAGTTACTTTTAAGCTCAGCTTAACTGTTGTACTTTTTCTGTAATGTTAACGAATATTTTGTGGTTTGAGCCATTCGACACACATAATAAAATGAACAGCAAGACAACTGACGTCAAATGCCTTGTAAAGTCAGTTGAAGTAGTTAAGAAACTGAGAATGTCCTCAGTGGACAAGTGTATACATTACATAATATCTAATTTCAAACTCATTGTTGAACTTTTTCTATGACGCTAAAGAGAAAATACACCGAAGGAGGAGAAAAGGATCATATTTCAAAGGTTTTATAACAGCGTTCGTAACCGGCAAAAAATTATTTCAATGACCTATTCCGCTGGTTGCCTAAGTTAATTTGTAATTAATTGCTGCAACCTACGACCAATCGTTGTCTATTTTTTTATTATTCAAACTGTGTTTGTATTGGTAAATGTTTTGTAATTTTCAACTTTGCTGGCTGCGTAAGTTTATTTGTAATTAACTGCTGCAACCTACACCTAATCTTTAATTCCATTTTCTTTTATCTAAACCGTGTTTATCAAGAGTTCTAATTAGAGTTCTCGTAACGATACGACCGATTTGAGATGTATAGCTATGTTCTTTTATGGTAGCTACGACGTTTAATTTGCCGCCAATCACTATCGCCTCCACCGAGTTGTTATTACAAGGTTGTTATTACAAGGTTGTTATTACAAGGTTGTTTTTCAATTTGAAAATGTGTCGAAGATGAGTTCCATTAACTGTTCTCCTAACGAAACGACTATTTGGAGATGTTTTGCAACGTTCTGTTGTGCCAACTGTGTTATTTAATTATTTCTTACTTACCCTGACCGACGCTCAGTCTTCAATTCAAGGTTGTTTTTCCAGCTTGGAAATTTGTTGAACGAGAGTTCCAATAACTGAAATAAACGACTAATTTGAGATGTTTTGCAACGTTTTCTTAACTAAGTCATTTAATTCGCACTAAATTTTTCTGACCTACGCCCAGTTTATTTCACTAATTTGAATATATCAACAAAGTTGAAATGGTAAATTGGCCACCGTAA